ATCTGTAAGACAAAACAACTTAATAATTGTTTTAACAACTTTTTTTTAATAATTTTTATAACTATGTCACTGTTTAATTGATTCGTATATTGGAAAGTTAACGATAACAAGCTATTGTGTATATATATTGCTGTAAAAAAGTTTTTGAAAAAAATATTTTGCAATGAGTTTATCATTGGTTATTAGTTATGATGATGTGAAAAAGTGTTATTAGTATAATCTGTATGATCCAAATTAGAGTACAACTATCGCTGTTAAACACCTAATCCAATACGAGTCTGAAATTAATTATGTGTGGGTCAACTCTTGCGGACAACATAGGTACCTCACGGCATCTTCTTGCTTTCGTTGTTTTTTACCTTTTCGTGTTTGGATTTGGCAAGGATGCTCCAAAACCCAAGAAAGTACCAAATTTTTATGTCTCTCGAAAGAGAGGAAAATGCTAATTCCATGAGTCTCTGTTAAGACCATCTCGTACCTTCGTTTGTCACACTGCAGAGGTTCCCACGCACCTTCCACGAAAGACTAACCCCTTTAGACAACAAATCTCCCTCCAATTTCTGCAACAAAAAAATACTCTTCTCCCTTTATTATTAATTTTATTCAAAACTACAAAACTCTCCTAAAATAATAACTTAATGACAAAAAATGTTTAAAAGATAATATATCGTCAATACTTATGTTATAATCATAGACATTATTTATGACACCCATCGATTTCTCTTTCATTCTTTTTTGTCCTACTAATCAATCAAGATGAGATGTAGATTTAAAATTTTCCTTTACAAAAACCTCGAGTACTTGAATTGTCAACTTCTAAGAACACGACCATCACTCCTTCCTCCAACACTTTCTTCCATTTCTTCCATCATTCATCTGTCTATATAAATGCGCATACCCTTGTTAACAACTTCCCCACAACAAAAGTTTCTCCCTTTGGTCTCACTATACAACACAACCCCATTAATTTCTTTCTTTTTTGTCACGAGTGTTGCATTGAGGAAGTAAAAGCAGCGAAAGCAGCAATGGGATCCAGGAAGAACCCGGTTGTTTTTGAGGACTACTTCCCTGCAATGATGGAGAAGCTGGGAACCGATGGGTTCATGAAGGAGCTGACGAACGGTTTTCAGCTGTTGATGGACGGAGAGAAGAAGGTGATAACGTTTGAGAGCTTGAAGAGAAACTCTGCATTGCTTGGGTTGGAAGGGATGAACGATGATGAGATAAGGTGCATGCTAAGAGAAGGTGATCTTGATGGTGATGGAGCACTCGATGAGATGGAATTCTGCACTCTGATGTTCAGGTTGAGCCCTGCTTTGATGAACAATTCCAAGGAACTTTTGGAGGAAGCCATTTTCCCTTCTCATTAGTTTCTTCTTCTCTCACACAGCTCCTTTGCTTTTCTTTTTTCTTCTTTTCTTCTTCTTTTTTACTTTCTTTTTCTTTTTATGGAGCTGTTTGTGTTTGTAATTGGGATTTGTGGTTAACTAGTTGAATGAACTTTTCTTATTCAACAATGTCACCACTCGATAAGTTATTACTATTACTCCTTACTCTTCATCTTTTTCTATCTGCTTTCTCAGCACCACCACATTGCTATCGATCCTGAATGCTCTGAATCATCTTATAAATCGTAACTTGTTGTATATTTAAAGGGACTGTTAAAACATTATTTTTTCTAACAAATTTGCTTTTGACAAAAACAGACTGAGAAAAGTAATCTAAATTTCCTCATATACTGTAGTCGGTTACTGTTATATAGAAACATTGCAAAGAAAGAGCTTAAACAGAGCATGCCAAATTCCTTTTCACTTGTTATTTCCCAAACCTGAATTTTTAGAGTTTTCCATAGCTACTTCATTCCATAGTCAACTTTGATGTACATATAAAAAATGTAATTGCATATATTAAGTGTAATGTGGCAGATTATGAACACATTTATTACTTAATAATTTCAGGTGGAGCCTTAATTTATTGATTTAATACAAATTTAGATGAGGAAGCTTTCAAGGATGGAGTAAATGATTTAAAAAAATGTTATTTTTCTTTTTATCCATTTTCATCACATTATTTTATTATATATTTTTCTCATTCTCCCTGTCTTTTCTACTTTAATAATTGAAATTAAAATAATTTCCAAACATGTAATTATTGAAAAGATATAAAGATTATACAACATCCAATTTTCCCGTTTTCCTATTTATTTTATTGAACAAAATAAACCTCATATTTCTATTTTTTTTATAAAAAGACTCTAGTTCGCCTTTTTTTATTCTGTTTGGTCGGGCGGCCACACCATTAAAGAGGGACGGTCAGTCACATATGCTTGAACTCTCAAATTTGAATAGGATAAGACGAAGACCATCTGGTTGGGCAGGGTCAGAGGCTGAACGGACAGTTCTAGCAGTAGAGTACTTCTTAAGAGACATTGCAAATCAAAGTTAAGAGTAAATACTAATTAGTATACAATGGACCGAGATTGTGTTGTGATTAAGTTTTCATTAATCTTGGACTCGTCTCAAAAACTATAAGTAGGGATCAAAGATAAGAGATAAGTGATCACATTTATTGTAAATTTAAAATATTATTTTAATCCATTCGAATTAATTAATAACTTAAGTATCTAAGTGCGTTTTTGGCATGTATCCTGATCAATTTGGAGTGTTTACAAAGGAAAACTTGAACTAAAGACAAATATAGCTATCAATACAACTAAAAAATAAAAGTGTCAAGATATATTATGTGAAGTTACTCAACCCAACCTCTGAAACATGTCTTATATAATTCACAGCAACATATACACAAAATTGTATTAAGCTTTGTAAAGTGAATAAGAATAAAATTGTATACAAATAAAAGAATAACATCAAAGTATGATTTTTCAAATCTTATAAACAATAAGTAGAATTTATGCTACGCTTAAGAAAAGAATATCTGTCTTTTCACCAATATCTTTAAAATACTATAATATAATTGATATACGAACAAAAACATTTAAGACCCCATACTAAAAAACAAAAACTGTCTTGGGAATTCTGTTTTTATTTATAAAAAAAATCACATTTATATATATCATATTAACAATATGTGCATTTTTATGAAAAGGATAGTTAAAAAATATTAAAAAAATTGTAAACTTTAATACAACTGTGTGAAATTAGTGCTTATATATGTATATAGAAAGATAGTAAAACTAAGATAATTCCCTTCACAGTTGCCATAAATACAAATAATATTATCTTTGGTTTTGTTTAGTAGTAAAAGGTTTGAAGTTAGAAATAAGTGATAAAAAAGAAACATAAAAATAGAATAAAACATTTAATTTTGTATAGAGCAAAAATTAATAAAAAATATATTGGAAAGATTATTTAAAAGTTATTTATACCAGACGAACCTGTCAAATAATTTTAACTAATTAAATCTAAATATAATTATTTAATTAATTTAGAGTGGATTTTATAACTTAAATAATCAATTATTTAAAATTTAAATCAATTTAAATTTTTTGAGACGCTTTTAAAATTTGGACATTTGAATGTGGTCAAAGACTGAAAAAGAAAACAACAAAGTTAAAGAAGACAGGTGAGAGAGGGAAATGTAAAATTGTTTGAATTAAATAAAAGATAAAATCGAAAATAATTATAATTTTAATAAGTGAAAAGAGATCGTTTGTACTTTATATTTTTTAAAATAATAGTTTTATAAAAAATAATAATAAACTACATAAAAATTATAAAATATCGATGTTGTCAAAAAATGTGAATGATTTATAATATGATGTGTCATTAAAATAAGTATATAGCTATTTTTAGAAATATATACTAAACTATAAATCTTTTGTGTTGGTATATATTTGTGAGTTATAGAAGGGATTTATTTATTTAAAGAGTAAGTAAAATAATTAAATTTGTAATCTATATCTTTTTATTTAATTTTAAATTAACAGCTTGACAATAATGAAGTTTATTCACATTTTGAATCATGAAAAAAGTAACATTTAGGACAAAGGTGTATATGTTAAAAATAATTATCAAAAATCATTCCGTGTCTTCCCTTTTACATATTTAACAGTTTAAAAAAAATTAAAGACAATAGAAGAATAGAAGGGTGCCATGAAAAAACTCTTGACCTTTATAGTATTTTTTTTATCGTATTCATTATTTTATTTTTTTCATTCATTCACATCTTACCATTCTTTCAATATATTTTAGTATTATTATTTAGCAAATAATTCAATTTACTGAAATATAAAATTACAATTTTATAATAAACAGAAGTTGTAATTTATGATATAAATTGTGTTGAATAATAACTTCAAATAACACAAACCATGTATATTTCATCAACTAAAAAAACTCTACATATGACATAGATAAACCTCATAAGTGCAATAATAAAACATAGAAAGAAAATTAAATATATTTTTTTCTAAGTCATACAGTTTTAAATGAAAGAAAGCTAAAAGCAACTCTTTTTCCACAATCTTTTTTGTGTGGGGAAGTGCTGGTCAAAATTCTTTTCCTTATCCAAAAACTTAAAGCAGGGAAGAAGGTCCTACCCCTCCCCTTCCCCTTTAACTCTTTTTCTTTTCACCATGCAGGACTTTCATTTTTCAATCGAACCAAAAGTAAAAGTATAAAACTTAAACAAAGCCCGTAGCAGTTTGCTCATTATCACATTTATAATGTGATATCAAGGAGTATATGACAAGAGTTAATCATTACCACAATCAAAATGGTCAAGTCAAGATTATATTTCTTTTTAACTCTAGCTAGCTAGCTATACAAGTCCCATAGTTCACATAGACCCAATTATGCAATAGTTCCACTCCACACATCAATGACAAAAATGGTTATTTATGACATACTAATGCGCACACATGCAAAGCAGAAACCGCATAGTGACACGGAGCAGCGCTATCACACTAGTCAATAATCCCTATGCAGAGATATTGAGAAAAGTGAAATCAGGGACAACATATAAGGCACAAAGTATGGAGCTGAGTTTTAATTCTCAGTGCGTTAATGTTGAAGTACTTCGTTGATCAATCTCTTCTAAACAGATAACATTCAAGAAAATTTACCATTCAACATTAACGAGGTACAGACCACACGTGTCCTTTGGCAACCGAATAGAACGGAGAGCTCTTTCCGCAAAAAAGTAACAAAGGGTCTTTTACCCAAAATGTGATTATCACTTTGGATAGAGGATATCGTAGTGACCAGGGCGATATAGCAGTGTGATGAAAGGAATATTCTTTACGGAGCTACAACTAGCATTTGGGAGATCACCAGCCACTGGCATGAAATCATGATGATTTACACTGACACCACCAGTATCACATGAGCTGCGGTCAAGGTACACAACACGGATTGGAACGCCCAATGCATCTGAAAGGGCAGTGATGTGCACATGGTCGCTCTCTTCACCCATTGGTTCAACAGATAGTTTGCAAAACTAAACCACAATAAATAACATGAATTATATTTTAAAACCAGAAGACTGAGGTTATATTGTTTCTCTTTTGCCAGATATTAACTTTCCGAACAACTTTTGAAAGAATTACAAAAATTTCACTATTGAACATACCTGCTCGACTGTTGTATTGGTTAAGCCCAGTATGAACGGTTCAAAAAATTCAGTACGCATTTGTATTTCAGCAGAGGTAACAAACCTGAAGAACATGACGACTAACAAAGCAGATTTGTCAAGACATCTGGAAGAAATGAGATCAAGGCATTTGGGATAACTTTTAAGTCACTCACCATAATCGGATATTGACTGATCTCGGCTTCTGATAACGAGCTCTTCATGACTGCGATCATATTAATAAAAAGTTCATTCAAACAAAACCCGAGCAGAAATAGGAAAAGAATAAGAAAATTGCATGAACCGAAAACTGCTGAAATGAAATATTTTAGGAGCATATCATGCTTCGGGTTCATGATTGTAAACAAGGCATATTCGTGGTGAAGGAGAAATTTAACACCTTATGGACGTCTCTTTCCCTTGAATAACACATTCCAGCTGCTCAAGGAATAACTGAAATTTTTTACAAGAGTGTTTATCAAAAGTAAGTTTATTTATATCTTTAGAAGATGAAATTAATTGTATGAGCTTGCTAACATATGCAAATGCCTCTACAGATTAAGAATAAATATAACCTGCTAATAGGGTCCAGTCCTCCACTTCCAACCATTTTCTTAAAAACAGTAAACATGTATTTCAAGCATTGACTGTACTTCCCACCATGACAAGCAACATAAAATAATTTCCAAAAGCTCCTCGATAGAAAATTTCCTATATACTAAAACGACATAAATTTGTTCTATTGTATGATTTCCCTATTTATTTCAACAACCAGAAGTGTTTATTTCCTTTAATTATTTTCATTTGAAAAATTAAAACATAGAAGAAAAGCAATAAGTTGTGAATGGCTTGCGGGTCAAAAAGACAGCCCAGACCACAGCTCCCGCATGTGTAAAAGCACTTTGCTAGGTTCATAGGCATAACATAACTCTATTTAGTTCAAGATTTCACAGAATATCAAGCTCAGGGTGATTTGAAAGCGAAGAAGAAGAATAAGAAAAGGCAGCAATGATATTGAATATGGTAACTATCAATCACATGATAACCAAGACTTTCATTTTATTTAAATTTTTGGAAGAAAAACAAGAGTTCAAATATATCCCCACACATATTACACAAGGATTATTTTGAACACATGAATAGAAATTATCTCTAATCACCCAATTCTCACATGACAAGACTGTTAAGGAATTAAACAAGATAAATGAAAAACCTTTTTTAAACATTTCCCGTTGTTTAAGGACTTAAATTCGGGTATAAAAAAGTATAGACTGCTACTTTCAACCATGACAAAGTTTAGGAGAGACTAGAGCATCCATAATGCATGGTTTCTTAAATGGATTACTTAACATAATTCTATGGACCTCATAATGCAGCGTAGATTTTAGCACTATTTAATGAAATTGACTCCAATGGAAAAATTGCTAAAGTGGTCACTTAATCTAAATTTATGGATCCTTCAATTAATTTTCTTTATTGTGATTTTTTCAGGAACTCAATTGTATTGATTGAGTTTCATTATGAGCTTCAAAATTTTAGTTTTCATTGTACTTTTAGTTTTATAATTTCTCTCCTCTTTTTTTGTCCAAAATTTGTAAACAACGGTGCTTCAATAATTTGTAGACAAAAATGAGTACACCCAATGCTAGCTCATACACTATAATGCCAAAAAAAGTTAAACGATAATGCTTAGCATTAATCAACTCTCTTAATTAAGCACTCCGATAGATAGTCTTAGTACTACTCAATGCAATATACCTTTTTCCAATTAATAACAACCAAAATTTTGGACATTTTTCAAAGCATTAATCAACTCTCTTAATTAAGCACTCCGATAGATAGTCTTAGTACTACTCAATGCAATAATATACCTTTTTCCGATTAATAACAACCAAAATTTTGGACATTTTTCAAACTTGAGTAGGATGTAGGCAATTTAGCCAGTAGAATATTAAGAAATATTATAAAATAAATAAGCAGACATGTTTATCCCACATAGATAAGGAATTGCAGCCATAACTTACCGCAAAAAAATCTTCAAAAGTCAAGTCTGCATAACCCAAGGTTTGCAATGCTTTTCTACTTTTTTCAACATTTGGTTGGATACGATCGACTTCTGCTTGGTCTTGACATTCCATAATATGCTCCTGGAAAAAAAATGATGAGAATTCAATCATTGGCCAAAATTGTTGGAATATTTGATTACATGCTCCATACACCACAAAATAGCCCTCCAATTTAAAGTAATGGATATGCTTTTAAGGTAGATAAACTAAGACATACAAGATAAGAAAACATAAAGCTTCGAAAGAAGCAGTTTCCATCTCCCCGAGTGCGACGAATGGCAGCATATTGCTCATCAAGCACCTGCATTAAGGGTAGTATAAAAAGCTCAACATAAAAAGATGAAAGGAGAAAATAAAGCACAGATGAAGCTGAGATAAAAGATTAACAAACCTTTATTTTCTCCAGCAAGATAGGACTGCCAGATTTATATTCAGCAGCTAAGCTACTCAGCGGTTCCTGCAAATTTGTCACATGAAATCATTGTCCACACACACATACCCTCATTGTTAAACTCATATTCCACCCCTTCCATCATGAAAAGAAGTAGCAAAGAATAAAAAAATGATAATGGATACAAAAGTAATACGATTTGTACTTGATTAATTATAGCATTTTCCTCAAGCTCAAATGGGTCAAATTCAGAGTTTCAAGGAAAGTTATTACCACGATAAATTATAAGCCAATTAAACCTAAAACACTAGATAAGAAATAAAATAAGATTGACAGATTTATTATTCACTTAGCCTTGCCTTGTCACCCACAAATGGAACTTTCTTAGCTTCGTCGGCCTGAATTGAATACTGTTGCTGCATTATGTCATCGTCCCCAAAATTGTTCCACTCGTCAAATTCAGTGTCTGGAACAGTCACAGATGACGTTATTTCCCCATCCTCCACGACTGCTTCTTTACTCTGCATTTTCCCTCCAAAACAGTTCGGTCTTCTTTAATATCCACTACTTTCTAGGAGAACAAACAATCTACTCAAGAACTGAAAAACCCTGCCACAAGTAATATCCGTTCATATCAGTCTCCAAAATACGGTTAATATTCCAATAATGAAATTCAATTAAACTCGTTCCCATGAGACAACAACAAATTTACAATAAAAAACTAAAGCGACAAAGCCAACAAATTAATATATTGGCAACCAAAATCTTGCAAAATTTTCTTTGTGTCACATCACAGAACAGGTATATCGACGCAGACCGCATCATTAGAATACAAACCATCAAAACTGAATAGAAACCTACCGGCAATTTCATTAGCGGTGCAAGAAAACCCTTTCTCGGAGCTGCAACTGCAAACCAAATACATCAAGTTGAAGTCTATTTCAATTCGCATTGAGAAATGAAAACAAAAGTACAGGAAATGAGAAAGGTTTAACGGAACCTGCGCGCGTTACGATGAGAAGAGAAACCCCATAATCACTGCGATAGTGAAGTTCAAGACTGAGATCAGTAAACGGAAATCCCTAAATTCCCAACAGATGTGAAACGCATCGTCGTTATCGTTTTATAATGCACGGCGCTGACGGTTCAATTTATTAGAATATTTTTACTTTCAAGATTAAAGATTTTTATAATTTATAATTATTTAATTTGTAATCAGCGATATTAATTTCATGTCGAAATTGTGTTTTTATTCAAATTGAAATAATTTGTAAATTTTGAACTTTTTAAACCTTTGGAAGTGTAAAATTATCCCTGAAAAATTGTTTAAAACTAAACTAGCGGTCTTCAATTTATTTTTTGTAAGATTCGTAATTTGTAATATGTTTCGATCACAGTGAATAAATAAAGTAAAGAAATAGATTTATTTTTTTTCAAAATAAAAAAAATGCTGTAGATAACGTAAAGGTGGTCAATATAATTTGATTTGATTACAAGTAGATGGTTGGAGTTTTCATGTGAGAAAAAAAAATTAAGAAATATTTTGGAAAGAATATTTATACATAATCACCTTTAGTAATCTGAAACAGTTTTTGTAGAATATGAAAAGACAGTGAATGTATTTTTTTATAATGAGGTTTTCATGTGAAAAAAATAATAAAACAATTATATTTCAAGGATATTTTTTGAAAATTAAAAAAAAAAGTGTCCAAGAAATATGATAGTTTCTGTTATTAATTACTATAAAATATAAATAACATTAGAGAAATACAATATCGTAACTCAACAACATAAAAATTTTAAAAACAACTTATTCTATACGTTTTAGCATGTAAAATAAACACATAAAAGATCAATAAAATACTATGTTTAAGATTAAGTGTGAATAATCTATACCTATATATACAGGGGTTTGCTAACGCGCGCGTACGCCTGTTTTTCAATTAGTAGATTTTAGCATTTATCTGTCATTCCTACTATAGCCCCAATTGAAAAAATCAGAAATACTTGCCGTTAAACAATCTTATAAAATAATGATTTTATAATGAGTTTTCATCTTATCATTTTTGTCTTATATAATTTTATCCAATTTTCACAAAGATAAAGGAATTGGTAATTGACCTGGAAAAAAATCAGAAATACTCACTGTTAAACAATTTCTTACAAAAAATGATTTTATAATGAGTTTTTATTTTATAATTTTTGTCTTATCTAATTTTATCTAATTTTCACAAGCATAATGACATCAAAGGAATTGGTAATTGGCCTGGAAAAAAATCAGAAACACTCAGTTGTTAAATAATTTCTTACAAAAAATGACTTTATAATGAGTTTTCATTTTATAATTTTTGTCGTATATAATTTTATCTAATTTTCACAAGCATAATGACATCCGAAAGAATTGGTAATTGGCTTGAAGGGTTTTTTAGAGATGATGATTCAACAAATACAGATAATGAAATTAGAGAGGTTAGTGAAGATGGTGAAATTGAAGAGATCTTGAATGAACTTTTGCCTTGAAGGTGACAAGTGTTTCTGATATTTTCAATTGGGGCTAGACAGAGAAAATGTTAGAGTGAGAGAGATGAAAGACAAAGGATTGAGAGAGGTGAGTAAGGGTTTAGGGGTTTCTTTTTTTTTTTAAGTTTTGAGAATGAAAATTATTAAAATATCCTTAACCTTAAAACTTGGAATCCATAATATATAAGGGTATTTTTGTCTACTAAAATCCGGTACACATTGATAAAATATACCAACTGAAAAACAGGCATACGCACCTTAGCAAACCCCATATATATATATATATATATATATATATATATATATATATATTATAAAGGAGATTATACGCTTTTGTATTCTCGCTTTCCAATTTTACTTTTTAAATATATTTTTTTAAATTAAAATAAGTATTTTATCAATATTATCTTTAAATATTCTTTAATAATAATAAGATTTTATTAAAAAATGATAAATAATATACAATTGTTATTTTACAAGAAAGAAAAATATATTAAAAAGTTATTGCATAATCGAATATGGTATAATAATTATAGGATCTTTAGAAAAATATATAAGTGGTTAATGCAGTTATCTCTATATAACTTATAATATCAAAATATATACAAGGTCTTACATCACTTTGAGATATATTATACTAAAAACAAAGGTGTAATAGGATCATTAAGGGTTTGTTCATTTAAATGGACTTGTGGAGAGTGATTGAATGGATTTGAGAGGAATTGAAAATAATTTTTTTTATTGTTTATTTGAGTAGATTTGGAGGTAGGTGACAGTGGATTTCGAAGTAAACTTTTTTAATGTGTCACATCAATCAAATCCTAAACTAATTCTCACAAACGTTGTTTCTAAATTCATTCTCAGTTACCTCCAAATTCACTCAAATAAACAACAACAAAATTTGTCTTCAAATTCACTCAATCACTCTCTCCCAAATCCATTCAAGTGAACAAAGAGTAAAAAATAGATAAAACTATAAAAAGGACATCATATTCTATGTTTAATTGTGTCTCCTCACAACACTTGTTGTCTATAAACATCCTTTCACTCATCATTAAAGTGATCATCATAAAAGAGAAAACAATCACACACAAATAAACAAAATATAAGGATAAACTAATGTATCAAACGATCATTCATACACATAATTATAACGGTTGACATATGTACAAGTTATATTAATCAATTTTTAAACCTTCAATCATGCATTCTAGACTTGACTGTCTAAATAAAGTATTGATGTTAAGTATTAAGGAATCGTGCACTTGTAGTGGTAATACATTCTCTACCTAAGCGCTCTACCTAAGGTTGTCCTTATGACAATACTTTTGTTCCTCTTACCACATTCACCTTTCTCTACTTAAGAAAAACCAATCATTAGATTAAACATAAGTCAATGTCTCAATTCACCTTAAATGTAATATTAATCACACAATATACCAACATTTCAACATTCAATCACTATAAACAATTCAAAGCCCTAATTCAACTCAAAAGGTCATATTTCATTAGCACAAACGCTCATTTCAACATTTCAACTAAATTTAAGCAACTCAAACATGCAACTCAGATTCACAACACACTAAAAACTTAAAAACACGGTAATTTAGTTTTTTTTACTTACTAAACGACCGAAAGACTCTAGAGAACCTAAAATTGTCCTCTCTGCTCAAATAACTCCATCTACACCTATAAACCATGGATTTATTATCAGGATATGCCGTTAGAACCATTATTCAATAAAAAACCTAAAATGTAATGAAAAATTGTTCACATGCATCCGAAAACTTTTGAGTGGATTTGAGGGAATGGATTTGAGGAGATTTGAGAGGATTTGAAGATAAATTTTTTTGTCGTTTATTTGAGTGAATTTGGAGGTAAATGAGAGTGAATTTGGAAATAAAATTTGTGAGAATTAGTATAGAATTGTATTGACGTGACAAATTAAAAAAATTTATTTCCAAATTCACTCTCATTTACCTCAAAATTCACTCAAATAAACGATAAAAAAAGTTATCTTCAAATCCTCTAAAATTCACTCAAAAGAACAAGACCTAAAACTAGAGAGGAGAAGATAAAATAATTTACTCTTTTGCAAAACTGATTAAACAAAGTCAATTTTTTTGTCACAATCACCACTTTCACACTCTTTAATGTCAAAATAGATGACTAAGTAGAAAACTTAGAAAGAAGTAAAAATTCTAAATGAATAAATTTTGTTTTATAATTTTTTTATTTATGTATTAGACTTTTAGTATTAAAATATTTGAAAAAGAATATTTAAGCATCTAATTGCTCGATAATATATATTGCAGAACAGACGTGGCCAAAACCACGCTGAAGCCAACCTCTGTACCAAAAACCACCTATTCCAAGAGAAAAATGGGGCAAACCTCACAAGAAGCCCACAGATTCATTAACTACTGTATTGCCACGTGTCATCTTCAGAATTTCCTTCCTTATAAAAAATCAAAGCTAATGTTGTATTTGGGCAATTGGTGTGTTTGTGATTCAGAGAGACAGAATTAAGTGCATCCGTACACTCTCATCAACCAAGCAACCAACCATACGTTGAGAATGAGTGACACAACAAAATATTAGTGCAATCTGACGTGCCAATCTCTGCTTATTGCTCTGCGACTTCGCTACTTCAATAATATCTCATCTACCTCTTTCTCTCCTTATAGAGCAAGAACTTTTAGTCTCAAATTTCTCCTTATTTTATTTTTTTAAAACCAAAGTTTATTTTTATTCATATATTTCAAATTTCTCACTACTGAGTTTTAGCTTTAATATCAGTCTTAAGTACAACAGCATTAGTTACAGTAATTCTTGAAATTTGTCTTAATGGCTTCACCTATTTTTCTTGACCAAATCCACATAAGAAATTCAACTGAGTTCACCAAGTTCAAACACGGATGCAGACATGACTAAAACTGGTATCATGAATCATGAATGCATTGAAAGTTGAAACGAACTGGCTGACCAACTTTGTTCGACTCCCAGTCATAATCAACTATAGTTTTGCCTTTTCTTTTTCTAAACTAAATAATTAAATTAACTCCGAAAACTACAACGCGATTATATTAGTCTTCAATTATAATTAAGGTCTCCTAATGTTAATTCAACCAGTAAATCATCGGTCTTCGAAGTATGGATTTTGCCAGTGGCAATATTCTTGAAGATTGAATGACACAAGGAGGACTAATTTGACTTTATACAGAGACATAAACTTAGTTGCCATCATGCAAGATTCTTTAATTTCCGATCATTCAGGGTCTAACACTTTTTTTTTTATTTTTAAATCACTAATATCAGCGTTCACACTACACCGTTTTTGCTTATTTTTCTTTTCTCTCTCTGCAATTTTTTCCACCGTAGAGCGAGAAAGCAAAATCTGTGGTTTGTTACATCAACAGCTTCCCCGAACACCATAGTTTATTTTTGTTCACAAATCAATATATGATATCTGGTCTGTGGTTTGGCAATAACAGCAGAGAGAGAACAAAATTTAGTACAAGGCTGAGATGAGGAAGTGTGATCTCTGTAACAGTCCTGCAAAGTTGTCGTGTGAATCGGATCAAGCCAGCCTCTGTTGG